CTGGGTTCAGCCTGAGATCCTGTGTCTCTAGTAGCACCCAGGGATGCTGCCAGCGCATGGGCCACACTTGGAGTAGAAAGGCCTTGGAGACCGTGGCTCCAAGCAGCCACCACACAAATCCTCAGCTGTTCAGATATCTCCGGGGTTCTTGGCAGAAATCAGCCAAAGAGAGGCCGAAGTCTAGAAGATCATTTTGACGTTTCTGTTTTTGGGTCTTTCCTAGGCAGCATCTGCTGAAATGATGAAACATGAATAGTAGTTGGTGTCAGAATCACCTGAGGCTGATAAGTTGGGCAGAGGAGCTGGGGCCTGCGAGGAGGGGGGTCTTCTTTGAGTTTGTGCAGGAGATGGTGGCTTCCCAGAAGGGTCCTTCCCTTTTCACAGGGGTTGCATTTAAATATTTTGAGCTTTCATACAGTGACCCCCAACCTGGGAAAGAGTAGGGAGAGAGAGTATTTAGGCTGTCATTTGGGCTGAGGTGGTGAGCTACTGCCCCAACCCTTTGTACCACTGGCCCTCCCTGTGGGCAGCCCACTCTTACCCCATCTCTGTGATCGCAGTTTTGCCAAGCGTCTTCACAAGACCGTGCGGCGCCTGGTGCCCGACTGTGACGTCCGCTTCCTCCGCTCTGAGGATGGCAGTGGCAAGGGGGCCGCCATGGTGACGGCGGTGGCCTATCGACTGGCCGACCAGCACCGGGCCCGCCAGAAGACCCTGGAGTCTCTGAAGCTGAACCGTGAGCAGCTGCTGGAGGTCAAGAGGAGGATGAAGATAGAGATGGAGCGAGGTCTGAGCAAGGAGACTCACGCCATTGCTCCTGTCAAGATGCTGCCCACCTACGTGTGTGCTACCCCTGATGGCACAGGTACGCAGTAGGGCCGCCACCCAGCTCACAGGCTCAGTCACTCCAAGAGGACTCCCTTAGCCTTCGCATTAGGTGATCAGGTCAGATTGTCGCAGGTGTTTCTTCAGCTGTAGTACTGGGAAATTCTGGTGTCCAGTGAGCTCGACCAAAGTACTCCTTTGCTAAAACTGAACAGTGAGTGGTCTTGGTAAGTGCTTAATGAATGCTTACTGTGTGTCCAGCGCTTCTCTAAGCATTCCACACATATAAATTCATTTAATCTTCAACTGTTAACAGACACTGATAGTTAATTTTTCTTTGTCAACAAGCTATTATGTTTTACACAAAACCTAGGCGCAGGGAAATTAAGAAACCTGCCCAACTTCACATAGCTAGAAGATGGTAGAGCTGGGATTCAATTCTAGGAATTTTGGTTCCAGGGTTAGATCTTATAAGGTCAGGGGCTGGCAAACTTAAATCCATGGTCTAAATCTAGCCCACTGCCTATTTTTACAAATAAAGTTTTATTAGTACACAACCATGCCCATTTGCTTACATATTGTTTATGGCTGCTTTGTGCTACCAGGGACACGTTGTATTGTTGCACCCTAGTCCAGCCAGGTCTCGCTCCTCTAGAGAGGGGAATGCAGTGCCTCCCTCTTGCAGCTGCCTGAGGGTTGCATGGAAACTGTGATTGAGGCATGTAGTGCCTTGTGACTGTCCTACAAAGGAGGGTTTTCTCATTTAGAAAAATTTCCCTTCAGTCTTCTTTAAAGAGTTGGACTCCATTGTTCCTTCTCTCTTCTCTATTCTGGAACCTTATGTAAGGTGGCCTTTGTGTACAGGTGGCATGTTTGGATATTTTGGAGTGTACTGTATCACCATTTCTTTCCTGTGTTCTGGAGCTCATTGTAATTCCTGGGATCCCGCAACTTGAATTCATTTGAGAACCACAAAGGAGCCAGGAAATCTCTAATCATGGGGTTCTTATTTTCTTTATCATTAGGTGGAGCTTACTGTCTATCATGGAGAAGGAAATGGCAACCCACTCCAGTATTCTTGCCTGGGAAATCTCATGGACAGAGGAGCCTGGTGGGCTACAGTTCATAGGGTTGCAAGAATCGGACACAACTTAGTGACTAAACCACTGTCCATTATCCCAAGATTGTCCAGGCCTCCTGGGAGAGCTCCCCATTAGGGGAAAGTGACTGTCACTCTCTTTAGCCCCAGTAAATTATCTTCCTTGGCTTACTTTCCAGAGAAAGGAGACTTCCTGGCCTTGGACCTTGGGGGTACCAATTTCCGGGTGCTGCTGGTGCGTGTCCGGAACGGGAAGCGACGCGGAGTGGAGATGCACAACAAGATCTACTCTATCCCGCAGGAGGTCATGCACGGCACGGGGGATGAGGTGAGACGGGCGCACCTCTGGGGGTGCTCCAGGAGACTCCCCCTTCTCACCCGGGGGGACAGTGCTTTCTCTGCTTTCACCCCTGGTCCTGGGGAGGAGTAGGTGGGCTAGGGCTCTGGCTGGCCTTACCTAAGAATGTGCCCGAGCTGGCATTTCCCTTGGGTAGAGGCCCAGAGCCGGTGTTCAGGCCCTGCTGGGTGCAGCCTGCCCTGGCCAACCCACCCTCCCGTCCCCACCCACCACCCCACTCAGAGCCCACCTTCTCCTTACAGCTCTTTGACCACATCGTCCAGTGCATTGCGGACTTCCTGGAGTACATGGGCATGAAGGGTGTGTCCCTGCCTCTAGGTTTCACTTTCTCCTTCCCCTGCCAGCAGAACAGCCTGGACGAGGTAACAGTGCTTTCCTAGAGGGCTCTCCTATGGGCTGTACTAACTCTGAACCAGCCAGGGTTTTAGAGCAAGGGAGAAAGCTGACCCAAGAGGAAGAAAAGAAGGGCATTAGTGATCAGTCATGGGGAAGGGCTTGTTGATGGGAATGAGTAAGTCAGAGCTGGTGAGAGTCAAGTAGGGATAATGATCTTTGGAATAATGATGACAATCCTAATAATATCAACAACTGACATTTTTTTAAAGTATTTTGCGCAAGGTACTCTGCTAGGTTTCGTCATTTAACCCTCACAGCAACCATATAAGGTAGGTGTTTGTGTGCCCATTTTGCAGAAAGGAAAACAAGGTCTACAGAGATGCCAAGTATCTTGCAGGTCATATAGCCTGCGAGTGGCTAAGCCATGATTTCATTCCAGTTTCTTGACACATGAGTCCATGCTGTCAGTTATGCTCAGCTGTTCCTGAGGCCCCTGTTTTGGGCTCAGGGCATTTCACTCCATCTCCTGTTTGGATGTCATATTTCCCTAGTATCACCTTTGCTTTTTATTCCCTGTCAGCTTGCCTTGGATGAGTGAAGCAGGGGATAAAGATCTGGTGCTCTCACAGCAGACCTTGTGTCACTTATGAGTTTTGTAAACGCCTCCTAGGCCTCCCCTCTGAGAGTTAAATTTACCGTGTGCACTGCTGGCACAGGTCAGGTGTTAGAAGTCCTGGTAAAAACCCTGCCTAATCCAGTATTTCCCAACATCTGTTAACATTTGTCCAGTGTTAACTGGTCTAGGATTGCTTTTAGTTTTTCCAGCTTCTTTGTCTCAACATATTATTTTTTTCAGTATTAATGCATTGGTTTTCAAAGCCTTCTCATTTGCATCAGTTTACTAAAAGTACTTATCAAACATGTGTATAAATATTTATGTGATATTTAATGAAACATTGCTTATTATAACAGTCATTAGAAACAAACTAACTTATTCAGCAGTTGGGAAATAGTTAAGTCATGAGTCGTTCACTGCCTCATATTAACGACTAGTGTTTTGGAAGGAATCTCAATGATTTGGGAAAACACTGGTGGTAAGACTAAAATAATATTTTTAAGAAAAGTATAATCTCTATAATATGAAATGTATAAAATGTGATTAATAGGAAGATAAAAAAGATTCCAGTTTATATGCTTCTAGACTTCTATTGAAATATTTTTAACAGATTTTCAAGTATAGCATGTATATATATATATATATATGATTATATGCATATATATATGCTTATATATTTATCTGGTGGCCCCCAAGACATGTCAGCTGTTTCTTTTCATGCCTGAATTGTAAAATTCCAGTCATTGTACTGCATTTATGCCGTATGTTCTAAGTTTCTGTGAGCAGCAGGTGTTCAGTCTAGAACTGTGAAAGCTAAGAATAAGAGAAGCAGAAGCTGGGTTCTGTCTTTGTTCTGTCTGTAAGATGGGTTCTGCTCTGCTGAGATCAGCCTGTTGAAGGGGACATCAGCAGGTTCTGAAGCCCAGAGGCCTCAAGCCGCCTGGCTTAGCTGGAGGCCACGGGCAGCTCTCCCCAGCTGTTGGGGCCTCTGCATGCCAGATTATTTAAGGACTATTTACAGTAATGTTATTTCAACATTCCGAATGCTTGGAAGTACCAAATACAAAATTTCATCAGAGATGTCAAGCTAATTTGTAAACAAGAAAATCAGAGTGGTTTGGATATAAGTGTGTAAACTAGATCACTACTGAGATTGAACTTGGTTTTTCTGAGTTTCCTGGGATCTGAACACAGTGGGACTTGTGATATCAAACTCCTGGGCTGTGAGAAACCAAGCAAGTCTTGGAGAAACCATGCCAGTGGGTAGTAGTGAGCACATGGCCCTTTTGTGGGTTCAGGCCTCTCCAGAGTGGTCTGGGGGTCCTGGATGCCTATTCTCTGATGGACTGAAGCAGCACAGAGGGAGCCAGGGAACAGTGTATGAAACAGTCCCCCATATTCCTCATATATATCCCTCATATATCTGCTCCTGAAAGGCCCTGTAACTCAGCAGAGGTACTTATTCACTTCACAGTGGAGTCTGAAAATTCAGAGACACAAACCGACCCCTCTGTGTGATGTTCAGGGCAAAGTGTTTTTCCTGGTGAAGGAAACAGTTCCTTGGCAGGGGCAGTTGTGTGGTGCTTATGAGCGCTTCCATTGGAGTTGGTGAGCCTGGGGGTGAGTGCCTCCTCTATTCCAAGCTGCAGGCCTTGGGCACTTTATTCCAGGGCCAGAGTTACTTGTAAAATGGGCATGATAATGATAAACATTTCATACAGTTGCTGTGAGGATTAAATGGTGTAACACATGTGTTGTGCTTAGCCCAATACCTGGTGCATAGTCAGCCGCGCTAGTAGGTGAAACAGGTTCAGAATAACCTGTGGGTGAGGTGATTGGTTTTCAAAGGGCCTCTGATAACCTGTGAGGTTGGCAACTAGAGAACGAGCCAAGAGTCCTTCTCTGATATCCACCTCCCTGCCCATGTGCGATTTTTAGAGCATCCTCCTGAAGTGGACGAAAGGCTTCAAGGCGTCCGGCTGCGAGGGTGAGGACGTGGTGATGCTGCTGAAGGAGGCCATCCACCGGCGGGAGGTAGGAGAGGTGCAGCGTGAGGCCTGAAGGGTCTGTGGGTGCAAAAGCGGGGGACTGCTAAGTGCAGTGGTGTTGGTCACAGGGATAGTTACTCTAGTCCTTCAGCAGTTTGTGAGTGTCCGTGGTCTGTCAAGCCTTGCTCTTGGCAACTGGGGATTCAGGAATGCCTGCAAGCTCTCGTTCTGTAAACAAACCGTGAGCTAATGTCAGGTTGCTTTTGTGCTAGGAAGGAAAATGAATTTGGGTGAGGACAGAGTGAGTGGGGCTGGGGAAGTGCATTCTTTTAAATAGTATAACCAGGGAAGGTCTCTGAGGAGGTGACATTCGAGCAGAGCAAAGAAGCCCTGCTATATAAGCTTTCAGTTCAGTTCAGTTCAGTTCAGTCATTCAGTTGTGTCCGACTCTGCGACTCCATAAACCGCAGCACGCCAGGCCTCCCTGTCCATCACCAACTCCCGGAGTTTACCCAAAGTCATGTCCATTGAGTCGGTGATGCCATCCAGCCATCTCATCCTCTGTCGTCCCCTTCTCCTCCTGCCCTCAATGTTTCCCAGCATCAGGGTCTTTTCAAATGAGTCAGCTCTCTGTATCAGGTGGCCAAAATATTGGAGTTTCAGCTTCAACACCAGTCCCTCCAATGAACACCCAGGACTGGTCTCCTTTAGGATGGACTGGTTGGATCTCCCTGTAGTCCAAGGGACTCCTAAGAGTCTTCTCCAACACCACAGTTCAAAAGCATCAATCCCTCGGCCCTCAGCTTTCTTTGTATAAGCTTTATACACATCTAAATCTTCCTCACAAGTGTCTGAGGGGCAATATTGTGGCTCATTTGGGGGTTGGGATCTGCTGTTGTTCTCAGGAGTTTGACCTGGACGTGGTTGCTGTGGTGAACGATACAGTTGGGACTATGATGACCTGTGGCTATGAAGACCCTCACTGTGAAGTCGGCCTCATTGTTGGTGAGGACTTGGGCTGTCCTTCCCCAGTGGGGTCATATAGCCTAGGATGGGGGGAGACGGTGCCGAGGGAGGCCCTGACTGACGTCTCTTGGTTGGCAGGCACAGGCAGCAATGCTTGCTACATGGAGGAGATGCGGAATGTGGAGCTGGTGGAAGGGGAAGAGGGGCGGATGTGTGTCAACATGGAATGGGGGGCCTTCGGGGACAACGGATGCCTCGATGACTTCCGCACAGAATTTGACGCAGCTGTGGATGAGCTCTCCCTCAACCCTGGCAGACAGAGGTAGGCGTCCAGCTGCGTGTGGGCTCTGATATGTTTATATCAGAACTGAACAGTGAAGAGTCGCCCACAACAGCAAAGCGCAGGATGCTCATTCTCTTGAGATGTTAACAGAAGAGATTTCTTTGGAAAGGGCTTCTTGTCAGATACATCTGGGAAGTTCTGGGTTAAGTCCTTTTTGTCCTGCTGAACTGTGATGGTCTCAAAGTCCAGTTGGGAAAACAAAATCACAGCAGTTATGTTGCAAGGAGAATTGGAGTTGGTCACACAGGTTTTAGAGGGATGAGGACATCAAAGGGGTTTGCTGAGTAGCACAGAAGTTAGTATAGATGTAGGAAGCAGCTCCTACTGTGAGGACTGGACAGGTGAGATAAAGTGTTAAAACCTAGGTGTGGGACTTAAGGAAAAACAGACAGTTGAACCACTTGTTGCCATCAGGGTGAAGAAGCATTGCTGGGGCGAGGCAGGTAGGACCAGGAAGCAAACAGGAGCAAGCCTTTCTCCATCCATCCAGTGTGTAGCATCGTCTGTTGTCATACTGGACAAGGGGGCAGCCCCAGCATCACCAAGCCCTTGGTGCGGTGGGGTCCCATTAGGAAGAGGTTGAATGTAGTGTTTCCTAATTGGATTAACTAGGGACTGTACTTCTGCAGAATATCCCTTGCAAACATTTGTCTGTAGTAGAGGTCACAGACTAAAGTGCCTCCAGGAACCAGCCAGACAACATTAATGAAAAAAAACATGCTGGAGTAAGACGAGATTAAGTGATGATGGAATCTTGGTTGAAATTGAGAATGTTGATATTTTTAAAGGCACTATGCAGGGCCAGAAGACCCTCAAGCTATTGAGTAGTCATATTTAGTTCTCTTGGCCAGTTTAGTTCTCAGCTAGTGCTAGTTATTTAAGCAACAAATGATTAGGTTAAAGAGAAAGCATGCTAAATTCTCAGCAACATCAGGGATTAAGATTCAGCATCCTTCCCTTCTGGAAGTGGGGTGGGGTTTGGTGTGAGTTCCTTCTTGAGAAGTCAGGAATAAGCCTTGGAAGGAAAATGAACCCATTAAATGCAGTCAATTCAGGAAATCCCCTTGGGTCTCAGGACACATTTTACTGAACGCTATGAGTCAGTACATGTGGATGCCAGGAATCCTGCCTAAGTGAGTCAAATAGCATTTCCTTTTCCACCAACGGGAATCTGTATGCTCTCTACCTTCTAATGCAGTGGAGGCTGGTCTGTGTCAGCACATCCTACACTTTTTAACCTCCATGAACATTACCTGCATTGCAGGTTTGAGAAAATGATCAGCGGCATGTACTTGGGCGAGATTGTTCGTAACATCCTCATTGATTTCACCAAGCGTGGGCTGCTTTTCCGTGGCCGCATCTCAGAGCGGCTCAAGACAAGGGGAATCTTTGAAACCAAGTTCCTGTCTCAGATTGAGAGGTGAGAATTGAGGGCCTGGAGTAGGATGGACCGTATATCCTTTTCATGGACAGACTAGCTGGGATTTTCACAGTTCAGGTAAGATCAGGGTGTGGGTTACATAAAGATCAGTTTAGTAGCTAATGTGTTTATATCTGTATAGTGTTGTTTTAAAGCACTTTATGAACAGTTGGCATTTTAAGGGAAAATATGTGATATTTCTTGTGAAAAATCATGATTTTTCATAAGCTGGATCAACCTGTGCAAAGCAGTATTGCTGGTTCTAGGCCAATTTCAAAAGTAGAAAGAAAGATAGCTGCTCACAGAATGTAAATGGGAATGCACGGTGGAAGATAACTCACTAAAGCACCTGTGCTTGGCAAGAAGGATCTTCTTAACTGCTGGCTGCAGTAATAAGGTAACCAGGATCAAGTGGCATCCTGTGGTGGCTCATGAAAGTGAGGCCTTCTTCCTCCAGTTTAATGGTGGGGAAGAGAAGTCTGCTCTAAATTAGAATGCTAAGTTTCAGAGCCTTCTGAAAATTAACGCTGTGTCATTAATATTACTCTCAGGCATATTGAAAAGCAGGAACTGGACAGCCGACATGAGGGGGGTCCTAAGTTATCTGCACCGGTAGACAGAATACTGTTCTAGTTTACATGTCTCTTTTCTTCTTCTATAAATAGAGCACAAGTAGATCGCAGACCACCCAGAGTGGGGGACCCCGTAGAATAGGTATCTAATGTTGGTTGTTGGTGCTTGTCCTGCTGGCCTATGAACAACGAGAGACTGGACAGGAAAGGGCTTTGCAACTGAAAGCTGTCATGTATTAGCATCATCACTGTCTTTGCTATTTCCAAATAAGTGGAATCATGGCCAGTGAATTTCCTTTTGAGTATCAGTTTTGCAGCAGCAGTGTGCCCCTTGCCTGGGTAAAGTGGCAGAGGGAGCTGTTTCTTTGTGTTCCTGTCCATGTGGGCCAGTGCGATAAGCACTAGTTCCTGAATTGAGTTTAAAGATGGAACCATCTCTCACAGACGGGTAGCCTTTACCCCTAGCCCTTGGAAGTCCAGGTCCCCCAGAACTGCTTCTGATGAAGGAGCCAGGCCCTGGAGGGGCAAGCCATCAGGCCCTCTTGGTGCATCACTGACCACTGGCTGTCTCCTCCTGCCCCAGTGACTGCCTGGCCCTGCTGCAGGTCCGTGCCATCCTGCACCACTTAGGGCTCGAGAGCACGTGCGATGACAGCATCATCGTCAAGGAGGTGTGCACCGTGGTGGCTCGACGGGCAGCTCAGCTCTGTGGCGCAGGCATGGCCGCCGTAGTGGACAAAATCCGAGAAAACCGTGGCCTGGACACCCTCAGAGTGACAGTGGGTGTGGACGGGACCCTCTACAAGCTGCATCCTCAGTGAGTGCCTGACTTACACTCTTCCTACCCATCTTCCTCCCACATCTCTTCATTCTTTCTCTGCTTTCCTTTCTCTCTCTCTCTATTCTATGGCAAATTATCAGACGTTCCAAAGAGTGTGTATAGCGCGTGTATTATAGTTTAAAGATTAATAACTAGAAGTAGGTCTGTGTTTTACCATGCAGCTTGGAAGCCCCCTGTGAGCTCCTCCCAGTTGCACCCTTCATTTTCCCCACCATGAGTAAGTGCTGAGGTGTAAGTCTATCACTTTTTTTCTCCCATATTTTATGTATGCATCTACAGTGTTTATTTTTACTTAAATTTTTTTTGGCTGCACTGAACAGCCTATGGGATCTTAGTTCCTGGACCAGGGATCGAACCTGAGCCCCCTGCATTGGAAGCGCAGTCTTAGCCGCAGGACCACCAGGGAAGTCCCAGTTTGACTTAATTTTGAATTTACCATAAGGGGACTCATGGCATCTTTTCTTTTGTGATTGTTTTTTCTCACACTGCATATATGCTTTTTAGATGCATCAACACTGAAGTCTGCAATCATAGTTCATTAATTTTCAGGGCTGTAACCTTTGAGTGACTAAGCTATAATTTATCCTAATGATGAATATTTGGGTTATTTCTAGATTTTGACTATTACAAACAGTGCTTCTGCCAATGTTCTAGTAAATGCATGCTGGAAATCTGGAGCATTTTTTCCTATAGTCTAGGGTAGGAGTTGGCAGATTATAGCCACAACTGTTTTTGTAAATAAACTGTTGAAATACAGCCATGCCCTGCTGTTTATCTGTTGTCTATGGCTGCTTCCAGCTATTAACAGCAGAATATATGACCCACAAAGCTCAAAGTGTCAATTGTCTAACCCTCTATAGAAAAAGTTTGCCACCCTCATCTCTAGTATGGAAATACTGAATGCCCTTTCCTTTTTACTCTTTTTCCGGTCTTTGTCCATCTCTTCCCCCTTTTGTCCACTCATCACTATTTCTCTTCTCCTTTCTTCTCTCACTTGCATATATTTTGAATAAATTGTTTTAAAGTCAGGATATACCTCAGTCTCTTTCCCAAACAGAACTGTGCCCCTTGTTCCGCAGAAGGTATGATGGAGAGACTCATTGATTGAGTTGTCACCTGTGTCCCCATGATTGTTTCAAGGAGTTGAGAAGCTTGCCCAGAGTCCACAGTTAGTGCAAAGTGTGGACCCTGAGAAATTCTAAGTTTCTCTTATTGGTGTTCAGTGTCATTGTGAAAATAGGAACCTCAGTCCCAAGTGAGGGTTGGGAGTGGGACAGAAGTCCGGCCACTAGCACAGGGGCTTGATGTCAGGACCTCTGTTCTCAGCTCTGCCAACGGGGAGGACAACTGGACCCTGCTCTCGCGGGCAGATAATGACACATGGTCTCTTTCTCTAGTCCCGAATCAGGAAGAATCTTTGATTCTTGTCATCTCCCAGCAACATCCTCCTGAGTCTGCTCCTTTTGCCTTTAATGAAATTTGGGGTTAGACATGAGTCTGATATGAGTTAATATCTCTGGAAAATGGAATATCACATGTATGGGACTTGGTCCTCCCCTCTAGAACTGATAAACAGGCACTTCTACAAGGCGTGCATAAATGACTGCTCTTTTAAGAGCACAGCTGGCCATAATCTCAGGCTTTTGTCCTAGAGTTGAATCTTAACTTCTCACTTAGCTTCTCTTGCCCACTGTGACACAGAATTTGGGCATGTTGCTAGTCTCTCCAAACCTGAGTTTTCTGAAACACAATACATAGTGTTTAATATGGTAGCTATCATCCTCTTCTCCATCTCAATTATTTCTAGGTTTCTAGCATCATTTCTTAGGGCCCTATCTTTCAGGACACAAATCTATCATGACTAAGATATTTTATTCTGTCTTCCTCCCAACTTTTTCAGCTTTGCCAAAGTCATGCATGAGACGGTGAAGGACTTGGCTCCAAAATGTGATGTATCCTTCCTGGAGTCAGAAGATGGCAGTGGGAAGGGGGCAGCTCTCATCACTGCTGTGGCCTGCCGCATCCGAGAGGCTGGACAACGATAGAGCCCCTGCAATTGGAAGGACTTCCTCTGGTTTCCCTTTTTTCCTGCTTTAAATTATAAGATGCCATTCCCCTTGTGTCAGAAACAGACCCCCTGGCTTTTCCTTGCAGAGAGGACCTCATTGGACTAGGTTTTGTCTCTGTCTACTCTGACTACCAAATTGTAGAGTTTGGTACCCAAGCCTTGGCCCCCCTGAGATAAATACAATTTGAAGTAAGGATTTGTTCACACTTGTCACAACCATTACCATTGATTTTCTTAAAACTTGAAAAAAAGTTTTAATCTTTGGTAATCCCCCTGGCCAAATTCCATGTCCCTGTATAATCCTACAGGATGGGGACAATAATAAAAAATATGTTTGCTTCACCTTGAAGCCTGACCGTGACATTTCAAGGTGGAAAGCATCCCTCAGCTTGAAGGTTGGTGCTATTTCTCCTCTCAGAGAGCTGAGAGGTCTCCACTGACTTGAGCCCGATTCTCCCATAGGCAGCGGGGAGGGGCAGCAATGGAGGGGAAGTCGATGGATAGCCATGTGTCAGCCCCTCTTCAACCTCATCTATAAGCATTTGCCTTGTGGGTTCCAGTGGATGCTGTTCCTGGAATCAAAGCATCCTGTGACTGATCAAGCAAAACCAAAGCCTAGAGTCCTGGGAGTGGGTTCACAGGTCATCCATAAGCAGTGGACCTTTGGGAGCGGGAAGACTTTTTGGTCTGTTTTAAAATTTTTTCCTGCAGAAGTGGAAACACTGTATTTTCATTTTAATTTATATTTGAAATGTATTTAGTTCATGAAGTACATCTGCTCCTTCATCTTGACACTGTATGATCCTCTGTATGTAATGTATTTATATGTTAATTTGCTATGTCTAGAAATACACAGGGTCTCAATAAATCAATGTAGTTAAAGGATGGAAGATGAAGATATACTGATCGGTTACTAGAAATACCTCATTCATCTGCAGGAAGAGAAGGAAAACATCATTAAAGTGAGCGAATGGTCAAGCAGCTCCTCCTTTCCCTGCAGACTCAGAAACTTGGAAGGTGTCTGGGGATAGTGTGAAGGAGGTTGGGACTATGGACTGAAGAAACCACACTAAATGGTTGCTCAGTCTAGAAACTTTTCTGGCACAATATTAAACATGAGATATTAACAAAGGAAACAGGAATCATTTCAAATAAACTGCTTAGCAATCTTCATTCTTAGGGCAGTTAGTAGTATTTTAAACCTCTCTAACAAGATAAAGGAAGCCACCAAAAATATTTGCAAAATGGTCTAATTGTTAATAGCAAACCAAAACCAAACTACAAACATACAAACATACAAAACAGGGATAACACATTTGGTGGATTTGTACGCTTCTAGCAAATTTCACCCTGGGTTTGTTTTGTAAATGTTCTATAAGAGGTATTGTCCACAGACTTCCTAGGCTGAGCTGTTTTTACAAGAATTATTTATTTCAAACTGCGTGGGTAGAGAGGGGAAGGGACCCAAAACCTTCCTTACCCTACTTTTTAGAGTGCAGTTAATCCTGAATCTGAGAGCCCACTCCTGCCCTAAAATATTAAATCATTTTAATATTTTTATTAAACCCGAATACTTCATAATAAAGAGGGGAAGACCTTTTAACAATGTTGAGTAGGATACAAGGATCAAAATAAAAATGGAATGACAGAACTCAGAGCACCCAAATTTTGCACATTTATCAAACTTGTAGTGAGAACAGTGTCTAGATTTGTGTATCACTAAGGGATGCCCAAGAAATAGAAGTGAACTTTAACTTTTAAACTTGAAAAATTAGGCACCATCTATGAAATTGCACATTTTTAAAAGGTAGAGCTGTGTGTGTGGCTTCTAAAACGGAATGCTGGAAAATGCATTTTGAACAGTTGTGTTCCCACAGATTGGTGATAGTTCCTTGCTGACGCTGCTTTGCCTGTGTAAATATATTGACTCTCAATCTCTGACTGTGATGTGCTCAATAGCAGATCACCTCACACCCCTGAGCACTCAGTCTAGTGAAGATGTTGTCATGTACAATAAAGAACTAGTTCGATTAACTGTGTGATGTTAACTATTATTAATAAATTTTAACATTTTTCAAATATTCCACGTGTGATTCATGAGACTTTTCAAGAGTGCAGTCATCTCTCAAGCATATTAGTATTTCCTAACCCATCTGAGTAATTGCTGAGTGTTTTGATTTTGACTATACGTGCTTGACAGGCGTGTGGCCAACACTTAGCCTTGATCCCAGATATTTCTCACCCAGAAACACAGTGCCAATGGAATGGGGATCTAGATGGTTTTTCCTAGGCTGTGTTTGAGCCCCTGGATTTCAAGCACCGCTGAAACCATGGCTGGTGCAGCAGTCTGCTGTTTTAAGCAGTTTGGCTGAGATGAGGCAGAACCCTCAGGGACTCTGGCTAGACTCTGTAGGTATATATGATTCACATTCAAGATATAAAGCCCTTACTTATATGAACTCTAAAAAGCACTTGCCTCTATCCTCTCCTTACCATCTTTTAAAACTCTTTCCTTAATAAGCAAAATACAAACCTGGTAAATAAACTTCTTACAAGTTCTTAGTGATACCCACTGATGATATTGACATGGCCCTGCTTGACAATAACTGAAAAAGGAGCAGATAAAGGCTAACAGAATATTAGATAGGCAGAAACAAAATTCAAACTTGCTAGTGGTGAAGGAAAAGAAATTAAAATTAGGCCCTAGTTTTCTGACTTCAAATTGGTGAGCTTATAGGAGCATACTTATATACTATTGGTAGAAGTGCAAGGTACAGTCATTTAGGAGAGGAATACGCAATGTCCATTAAAAAAAACAGGGTTCTGTACACTTTTCTAGAAATTTGTGAGAGGAAATACACATAGTTGGAGACCAAGATTTATCTTTAAGGGTATTTGTGATTGCATGACTTAAAATAACAAAATAGGGGTCTGCCTAACTTGTACCAGGATCCGGTCAGGAAGACAATCTACTACAGTTAATTCAAACAGATTTTAACACAGGGACTTGGTTACAGAGGTAATAGTAGAGCTGAGAAGTTCCGCAGTGTAGAGGAGCAACCCAGAGATTAGCAACATCAAACATCTCCACTTCTATCCTAATGGCTGGGTCAGAAGCTAGAACCATAGAGCTGGGGTGGGAGGTGGTTAGAAATACCTGATTTCTTTCTAATTTTCTGCAGTGTCTCCCATTGACCCTACTTGTGAGGCAAGTAGATTCAAGAGATTAGATTTGATACAGTGCCTGAAGATCTATGGACAGAGGTTCATAAAATTCTACAGGAGGCAGTGATCAAAACCATCCCCAAGAAAAAGAAATACAAAAAGTCAAAGTGGCTCTCTGAGGAGGCCTCACAATTAGGGGAGAAAAGAAGAGAAGTGAATGGCAAAGGAGAAAAGGAAAGATATTCGCATTTGAATGCAGAGTTCCAAAGAATAGCAAGGAGAGATAAGAAAGTCTTGCTAAGCGAACAATGCAAAGAAATAGAGGAAAACAATAGAATGGGAAAGACTAGAGATCTCTTCAAGAAAATTAGAGATACCAAGGGAACATTTCATGCAAAGATGAGCTCAATAAAGGACAGAAATGGTATGGACCTAACAGAAGCAGAAGATATTAAGAAGAGGTGGCAAGAACACACAGAAGAACTGTACAAAAAAGATCATGACCCAGAAAATCATGATGGTGTGATCCCTCACCTAGAGCCAGACATCCTGGAATGTGAAGTCAAATGGGCCTTAGGAAGCATTACTATGAACAAAGCTAGTGGAGGTGATGGGATGCCAGTTGAGCTATTTCAAATCCTAAAAGATGATGCTGTGAAAGTGCTGCACTCAATATG